TTAATATTAATAGATAACTAGACTATTCAATATACTAAATCTAGTACAATGTACTAAATCTAGTACGGGTAAATCCATTAACAATTCTTTTTTGGTTTTAGAAGGTTTCTTGATTCAAACTTAAAATATACCCTAATTTAAGTGGCGTTCTTGATGTAAGTTTATTGGTTAGTTAATTATATACAGTATAAAATGAGCCGAATTTACTGCCACGTTTAAAGGATAACGTTATATCGATATTCGATGATAGCCAAGTCCATAATATTAGCTCAGAGGTTGGAACCGGTTTGGATAGCTGATTCGAATTTGAATTTATAAAAAAGGTTTTTATTATAACCGGCTTTATTCTGTTAACGGGTTATTATAACAGTGCTATAACCAATTACTGACTTCGACAACTTCGAATCGGTAGTTGGAAAACTTTTGTTATCCCAGAAAACGGCAATTATTATAATTCACAGTCCATTATATGCTATTAATGAAATGAACCAAGAATATTATATACTAGCGCCAGTATAAGACTTAATAGCTTGTTTAAATAATGTACACTTATTTTTTTACATATACTAAATAAAAGTAAATTTAGATATAAATTCAATATTAACATATTTACAGACTTAGTATATAATTAATCTAGACTTTCTAGTGTTCTACTGTACCAGCCTATCATTAAAACCATTAATAAATTTACAAACAACTACGTGTATACTAGAGTTGTTGGTGAAACTGGTGACTATCTAAAATCTGATTGGCTGGTTACTATAATAGCCAATCAGATTTTAAATAGTCACCAGTTTCACCAGCTCAATTTAGTTTCACCAACAACACTAGTGTATACACTGTACGTATGTATGTATGTATGTATCAGTGATAGCAAAAAGACAAATGACTTTTTTGACAAATAAATGATTCGTACGTCAAATAATATATTTCTATCACTCGGTATGTATAAATTTCAGCAAGTCAAAATTCTTTTCGATCAACCTATAAATTTTTTAATTAGATACAGTGTATTTTATTTCTTGCAACTGGTTAGAACTAGTTTTATTACAATTGAGAAAAAGATACGATGGATTAAATATAAATGTATAAATAATTAAAGAATATATACAGTATATGCGAAAAGTTTTAATAATATACACTTTTATTTTATAGCAATATACTTTTTAGCATTAACCCAATACAAATCACACTCGTAATTGTTGAGCTTTTAATGTTCAGTAGCTTTAACGATAATAACAGTACAATCGCAATGATGACAACAGTAATCGCTCACAGAACCAAGGAATGTACTATTATGTGAAAAAAATATTAACATTTATTATAATTGAAATAAGATATTAATGATACTCATACTAACCGTTTCAAAGCACCTAAACCACGAGATCCAACTATTAAGGCATCTGCATTTACTTCAGAGACCTTACGTACGATTTCGTCACGTGCATCTCCTCGCATAGCTATGGCCTTACAAGCAAACTATAACGATAATATTGTCAAATTAGATGGATTTCAAATAGTCAAGTATGCACACGTACAATTATACATACTCCTTGATTTTTTAGTTTTGCTGCAAATTCTTGTAAAAGTGTATGACTACTAACACGATGCTATGACGGTAATTGTGATTAATAATCTAATATTATGTATTATAGTTACACAAATGGGAAGATCTTGTACCCCACAAACCCACCTGTTCTTCTAAACTTGTTATGACTTCAGTAAAATCCATATAGCTAGCGCCAATAGCTGCTTAAAGTTTACAAAAATTGGTTAAACCCAAAATTAGCTTTTTTATCATTATTGCATAAGACTTACCATATGGTCCTGGAACCATTGGAACCGGTCGAACATTGACCAGTACAACCTTGATTATTTATTTATTAAATATATAAAATAAAATCTTAGTTTTTATAGATAACCTGACAAGGATGTATATATTCCTTACCAAATCGCTATCTTTTCTCAAGAAATTTTTAATTGCCCAATCAAAAGCATGTTGACTATGCTCAGATTGATCAATAGCAATTACAATCACACGAGAGATTGGAGTTTGTGACTCTGCGTCTTGAGCGCTCGTGAGGATTGTATCGGTGATTGCAGGAGAGGCTTGCTCTTGGGTCATTGTGGTATTAGTAATATTAGACATTTTTCTCCAAAAAAAAAAAAAAAAAAAAAAGTGTTAAATTGACGACGCTTTTATAAGAATACCAGCCCGCACATCACCCCATAAAACCTGATCATATGTTACTATGAAGTAATCACACCATTAACGTTAAGATCTGCGTTATCATGTCATTTAACACCTATTCTGTCAATCATTAACAATTTTGAAACATTGCATTGAATTACTAGGCAACTTAAATATTCTACGTATTAATTTATTCTGATTTTAAAATTGTGATATCACCATTTTACGGTTTGTATTTGCTAACCATTTAAGCTTTAAAACTAAAAGTCTTTTATTAACCGACATGCAACCAAAGGATGATACTTATTGCTACTAGTATATCTTCATACAAATTAAAAAAAATCATAATTCTTAATCTAATTTAATAAAACTATCATCTTTGTCTTCGTCTCTGCATTGAACTGCGAAATCATCATGTTTCTTCAACGACTCGTAAAACGCTTTCACTTTCTCATGTGCAGTGACCTTTGAGGGACGGAAATTTAGCACTTGGAGTGAAGCAGTAGAAGTTGCACGAGAAAGGGCCACATATGCCTGACCTGAATAAGAAAATAGGTACTAATGTTAATTAGTTACAACAAAAGTAGCTAATACTGTTTTCATCACTCACTCACCTCTCTCAAAAACGCGTCCAAGATCAACTTTAACACGTTCTAAAGTTTGACCCTGACTTTTATGAATGCTTATTGCCCATGCAAGAATAAGTGGAATCTAAAGAAAGTGAAATTAACAATAATTAATTAAAATTAAATAATACAAATGGTTTAACTTAATAAATATTATGCACCTGTTTACGTGATGCCAATACTGATTTCCCCCCATTTCCAGGTATGGTCCATTCATGAGGTTCAACAACAATTTTTTGATTCGAATCTGTAAATCGTACTATCGGAAGTAAATCTTTTATTTCAAGTCCTTCCTCCTCCCCTTTAAAATAGTCTTGACCAGTTGAGCTAGAATGATATCCTATGACAACGCCTCTGCTTCCATTAACTAGATTATAATCTTTCAAATTTTTGATGAGCATTACCTGAGCATCCCGTTTAAGTTTTAATTCTTGTGGAGCTAAACAACTCTTTATGAGCATTCGGAGTTGTCCAATCCTCATAGGTTCCCAATCGACCGCAAAGAATGAATGAGACTTATGCGGAATCTTGTTTAACTGTACAAGGTTAGCACTGTTCACGTTATCATTTCTTGGATATCTACATGAATCAATAAAAAGAATTTGGTTATTAAAATAAAATCGTAATAAAAGACCTTGCTCTATGATATGTGTTGCTTACAATTCCGTAGGTTTGATACCATCATCTGGATAGCTTGGTTCATTTTGTAACCTCGCAATGAGATCCGAGAAACGATCTGACACTTTCCCAGTTCTCATCTCATTCAAAAGTTCGATAAGTTCTGATTAAATAATGGTTCATCTTAGAATTGGTTTAATTTATAAATAAGCTAATGATTATTAAAGACATTACCATTATCTTTTTGACGGAATATTCGCGTTAATTGAATAGTGTGTTTAACTGCCGTTTTCCACGTTCGTGCTTCAAAGGAAAATTTAGCCACAGATCTGTTATCCCTCGATATTGGAGGTAGTTGGAAGAAATCTCCGGTGGCAATCAGCTATAAAGTAATACCCTCATTAATAAAATTCTTTTTTTATAATACTTTGATCAACCAATCGTTCACCTGTATCCCTCCAAACGGTCGCATATTGCTCTTGACACTTCGCGCGATTGCCTCAAGTGTATCGAACAATTCTCCGTCGAGCATCGAAACTATGATTAACAAAAAATAATCATTATATATCAAAATTGCTATTATTGGAATATTATAAAGAATGAAATTACATACTTTCATCGATTATCAAGACTTTACAGTCTATCCATCTCTGACGAGCTGATTTGTTATCACGAACTTTTTTAATAAGTTCTTGTACAGGCCCTTGACCAAGACCAATCCCAGCAAAATAATGTAAAGTTGTTCCTCCAATGTTGAGCGCGGCTAGCCCTGTGGTCGCAGTAACTGCCACAGCATCATTACCGGTCATATCTTTTAGCGCGGCAATAATTTTTTGGAGTAGCATACTCTTCCCGGTACCTTTTTTTTAAAAAAATGGAAGTCATATTATAATCCGATCAATTAATACGTTATATATGATTTTAGACGGTTTATAAACGTACCAGCGGATCCTGTAAAGAATATGCTTTCTCGTTTAAGGACTGCCAACTCGTAGACCTCGCGCTGTTCCGCAGTAAGTGTTGCTTCTGGCAAACCATTTTTTGCGTCTTTTGAATTAATATTACGTTGCAATTCAAGCCATCTTTCTTTCGTCTGATCATTCCAATCTTCATCGTCTGACATTGGTCTCGCATCCTCGAAGCCGTCATCGTCTTCTGTATAATACCTTGGTTTCTTTCTTCTGACAGGTTCTGTTTTAAACAGCGAAGCAGGTGAAAACCCAGGGAGATTGTAAGGTTCTATTTCTTGTTTCGACGTGTCCGTACTAGCCTTTCTTTTTCTACGTAAATCTCCAGGAACCTCTTGAGCAGAGGTTTCATTTGGCGAGCTAGAATTTAAACACCAAGATATTATAGTATTTGATTGTATTGTTTTACCTTTTGTTTTAGGCATTCTTGAGAAAATTTCGCGTAAATTAAAACAGATCAACATTACCTGTTACAGTTTTTAATACTACGTACCGTGTTATATCATGTGATGGGGAAATTATTCTATGAACTACGCGGATTTCAAACCCGAAAAACAAACAGTACGTCTAATAACCAATCAAATAGAATTATCATACTTTATAAACATAGGAGTGGCCTAACCCTATGATCGAAGCAGGTTTTACCAAAAATTCAGCGCGGTAACATAAAATTACTGCCGCCTTAAACCATGAAAATATCTTGTAAGAAGCAATGTAATTTATTGAAGATAATGATAAAATTTCACAAATATTAAGGCTCGAATTTAGCAAAATTATAAGAGAAAATTTTTTAAATTACCATTGACTCTAAAAAGCGTATACAATGAACAGAATTGTGCCATTAAATTTCTCTCGATTCTAATCACTGGCCGATGACCTTTGATGAACTATATGGGGTCTTTGCCTTGAAAATGACCTTACGGTACATGATACCGTAAGGTCATTTTCAAGGCAAAGACCCCATATGACCTTTATGGCCTGTCATAAATCATTTGGTCACAACGAAGGTTGTTTGATATGACTTTATGACTTTTTACAGTCATAGGACATGTCCACCAAGATGCTTTGCTCATTGACCAATGAGTTGACCCACCTCTTATATCTGTTAGCCAATAAAAATATGCAAATAAATCATTGTACTGAACAATAGGCATCAACGCAGTAAATAACCAGGAAAATTATTGATTCAGCTTTATCCAATTAAATTGATAGAATGTAGAGTAGCTATCAAGGCCAAAATTCGAAATATTGAACTCTGCCATCATATAATCAGTAATAATAAAGAAAGAACTGTTTTGAGCGCTTATCATTTCCTAGGTTTTTATTATATTATATATACTGTATATATATTTTAAAATCTAAATTTAAGATATTAGGCCTAATAATACCGATACGTGTTAAAATAATTAAATTAACAGCATGGCTAAAGGTCCACTAATGCTAATAAAGCACCCGCTCAAAAAACGGCTCGATGATCTTGGGCCGAATCTAGAATCGTGAGCTAATAGAAGCTTATTACATAACTATTGGCCAACAGCACGAAGAGAACTTGTTCAAATAATAAAATAAAGTAAAAAAACGTTCATTACAACCTAATTTCATTTTATTGCGTTAATTTAGTGGTATAACATGAACAATATCGATATAATCAAATTTAATTATTCGGCGAACATCATGAGTCGTGCAAATAACTTGACAAAGTAATCATTAACAGCTATATTACAGAAAAATTAATAGTTATAATTAAAGCCAGCTTTTTTAATAAAAAAATATATTTATCGGTTCGGTTCAAAGTTGCAGAGCCGTGCGATCGACATTAACTGTTAGACAGCCATTATGCACCACTAAGAAAATGAAAAAAAAATAGCTATGATTTGAACTAAATAATGTATTCACATGTCTTATAAAAAAATCGAATTTGAATGTAAATACATTTATTGCGGTTTGCATAATTTTGTGACCCCTATTGTTAATTTTTTTTTTATTGTGATTGCGATCGTGATTGCTAAAAAAAATCTTATAATAAGTTGGTCGACTTTAGCAATCACGATCGCAATCACAATCATTTAATCATAAAAAAAATTAAGCAGACCGCAATAAAATATTTAAGTCTGACTATAAACGCGTTTTAAAGTATTTCAATTTGTCATCAGATTCAGTATTTACAATGACTAAATAAATTCTTTGAACAATTCGATCAAAATAATAATCAAGCTTAGAATAAATTTTAATTCTTTAATGTATTTGTATTTTAACAGCTGTAGAACTTCTAAATCACTTTTATAGAACTGAAAATTATTAAAAACTCTTAGAACTAGATGATAATTACATGAATTATCAATTTTAAGTGAAGCTGAAGTCGCAATAGTTTTTAATAAAAAATGAAAGTTAGGCCATCTACACAGGTAAAGAGACCACTGTAGATTAAATCAAGAACCTATTGGAATAACTAGTAGCAAAAAAAATACAAGGTAAAATTTTTCGTCAAACTACCAACTTTTTAACCTACTTCTTTTTATATTGGAATGAATAATAAATTAACTGAATGGGTCAAAAACAATAAAAATTAATAAAGGAACTATTTGAGCCAGATGGTTAAAAATTGGTTATATAAAAAATCGATCAATTTCGTAGTAAAATAATTTATCATTACTATCGTTATTATTATCTATTTTCAACTTATAATCTAATGTGTAGCGATAGTAATTATATTTTGTACGTCGGAATAGAATCTTGCTAGACTTAGAATCAACTTAAGTTGATTCTGAAAATATACTCAAGTAGAAAAAGTTCACTCAAATCGCTAAAGAATTTCGAATTTTAAAATGAATTCAATTTAAATAGTAATACATCGTAAAGCTATCTATGCAAATATTCTAGTCATACTATATATTCTAGCTACACAAATTATTATAAGAGTGATTGTTGAGTTGACCGTTACAACTACATAATTTAGATATATTATTCAATTCGGAAATTGCTTAGGCACAAAAGAAAGAACTTCAACTCCTATTTATGCTCAGGATACATAGGACTCTTAGATACCATTATATCTGGATAGTGAAAAGATCCAGAGTGTCGATTTTTGGTGGATTCAAATATTTCTATAATGAATTAATGAATTAATGAATTGATTGAAAATAAAATTTTATGATATCTATAAAAAAAATAAATTACCGTATTAGATAGTGTTCAAAGATAAGCCGGCTTATCACGGCTTATCATGTGATAAATTCGAATTTATCACCAAGCCATGTTATATATTCGAATTTATCACGTGATATTTTCATAATTATCACATGGCTTGGTGATAAATTCGAATTTATCATATGATAAGCCGCATTAAGCCGCAGCAAGCCGTGATAAGCCGGCTTGTCTTTGAACACTAGTATTAGATATTAATTCCATCATCAGAATTATCCTCATCTTCAAAAAGCCGCTTGTAAAGAGCAATTCTAAAATGAATCAACTGTGTTTGCTCTTCATTATTAAAAGATGATAAGAGGAGTGTGCCTATAAGTTTTTTATTTCTAGAGTGCAAATTTGGCTCACTCCATAATGTTGGTAAAACATTCTTTTGTTTTTTCAGAGCGCTTCCATTTTAGAACCTCCTCAGGTGAATCTTTATTATTGATAGTTTCTAAAAGATTCTCAAATACGAAGAACATAGCTTCTTTAACCATTTCAAATTGTGGAAGAAATGCTTTTACTGAACACCAATTCGACTCAATTGTGTTAGTATAAACACCTGTTTAAGGTCTTTAAAGTTCTTTGTGTTTCTACCCATATTTTTCAAAGTCATCTGTCTGGTAAGCTGACCAACAGTCGCTATAAATTGTTTTTTGTTCGATCAGGAATTGATACCTATTTATAAAATTTAATTAGGTTTAATTTTAAATTTTTAATATTTATAAGATGTCTAACTTACCTTTTTATATGTTTAAATTCTTTTAATAGCTCTTTTAAATTAGAAGCTTCTAAATTATAAAGTATTCTATATTTATTTAAATTAGAAGCTTCTAAATTATAAAATTTTCTATATTTATTTCGAAGTTCATCACTAGGTTTTTCTATATTATCATAATATAATATAGTATACAGCCAAAAATATTTTACCCGAATCTCTTTCAACTCTACCAAAAACCCATTGACTTTCAACTTTTTTATCTTTATTACACTTGATGTAAGTAAGAATGTTCATTAATTTGAAGAGAATGCTTCACATATTCAGGCAATTTCCAGACATATCCTATTTGAGTCAAGAACATTTCAAAAAAAATTTTAAAATTTTCAGACTTTAACATCAGGTATAGCACTTAATATGATTGGTTATGAATTTTTTTTTTTTAGCACGCAATATTGATCCGATGACTCAATTAATTTATACACTCCTACTTTAATAATCTTCATCACAATTATCAAAAAACTTTGTCACCATTCACTGAAAATTTATTCTAGGATACGTTTATGATTTTGATTGGAAATAATATACGAAAAATATTGATTTTAATTTTGTTCACTCTTATGTCTTAAGCCACCTAGTACAGTGATGTTTACTGGAAGTCTGGAACCTCATTGGACGTCCAAATTCTTCCAGAGTTCCAGCAGTTCCAATGGGAATTCCCATTGGAAGAAATTTTCCAATCTATATTATCGTCCAATAAAAATGCGTAGATACGAATAACATTAACCAATAAAAATGTGCATGTTTTCACGTGATTATTGGTAAAATATTGGGGTGTCTTTAGACACCCCAACATAGCGGGCTTTAATTCTGATTGGTCAATCACTAAATATATCGTCACATATTACACCACATATATCATCTGA